AATTTATTGTTATGGATAAACTAGTGAGTGAAAATGGATAAATAGTTAGGAAGTGGGCGTATCGAGTCTTACGACATGTATGAACCTTAACAATTTTCACAAAATCATTCCCTTTCAAACTCTTAATTTTTACTATTTTATGTATCTAAACCATTCCTTTATATATATATATATATATATAGTTTTATACCAGTTTTGAATCCCTTCAATCTTCAAAGGTTTAGAAATATTGTTTTGGGAATTGTTAACCTTTGAGTATTTCAATAACGTAGTTGAATAATGTGCGAATATGGAACACTAGTTGTATTGCAAGAATGTTGTTTGTGGTGCTTTGATTTTGCTGGGTTGTATCCCGTCGAAAGGCCATGATTGGCAAATAGAATTCCTATTGGAAAATTTTCGCTCCTCTTTATTTTCTTTTCATGACAGGGGGTTGAGGACTTCTGAAGTAATGTGAGATATTCTTTTGAAAATTAGGTTTCCATATGACCAATAGTTGTTTCTTGGAGTGTGAATGTGATGTGAGAACTATTTTTTTAAGGTTCTAGGTCGTTAGACGATCGAGAGTCATTCCCTGGAAGTTGAATTTGTATGAGGCCGGAGTAATCTAGGGTATGTTAGTGAGACCTTTACCCTTGACTTTTAGTTTGATGGAATTGATGGGTTCTTGTGGCTCGTTAGAGGTACCCATGACCATTTCGTGTAATCTTGCTAAATGGGGACTTGTACGTAATCGGAGTCGCCTGCCTAGGTTGAATGGGCCTTAGTAATCCTTGTGGATGAGTTAAAGGAAAGACTCACCACTTGAGTGTTGTTATTAGTATCCTATGGGGTGGGTCTGAATATTAGTGTGGAACCTAAAAATACGAGAGTTATCCTTAGATTTTGAACTAGATTCTAGAGTGGTGATTGTAATTTTATTGGGAATTGTTCTACCCCTTATATCATTAGGTTGCCATATCTTCTTTCATGGAAGTTGTTTCTTGTTTATCACACGAAATCTTTTGTGTTGGGAGAATCTTCTAGAAATTTGTTGTTGAGTAAAAGTCATTTGTGATTAGTTCGTGGGAGTGTTAGTTCAATCTCTGTTTCATTTGGATTTGTCTAAACTTTAGATCTTGAACTGTTTAATTTCAGGGATGAAATTTCCTAAGGTAGGGAGATTGTAACACTTTGTACCTCTTAGACTAGTGGGATTGCTCTTGATACTCTTATTATTGTACTTGGAGCCTCTTTGGTTCATTTTGGATATTGATTGAGATGATATCGTAATGGTAAAGTAAGATTGAACCAAAAACATTAAATTGGTTAATTGTCCCATGAGTAGTCTTCACTCTTTTGCCCATTTCTCTTTCCACATTTTGAATTTGGATGTGAAGTTAAAATCATTGGAAGGCTTGTTTCCGGGGCTTTGATTTGGATATAAGCACAACCTAAAAGGAAGTCTGAACAAAGGAGTTATGCCTGTTTGAAATTTGAGTACTTGGGCTGGAAACAAGTTCGCTTGAGCGGTTTGAGCGAATTCTGACACTCTAAAGTCACTTTTTGGCCCAAAATCTTTATTATTTCTTTCTCTTTTCTCTCCCTCTCGTCCATACTCGAAACCCTAGAACTCCAAACACTTGATTTCTCTAATTTTTCCCTTAAATCAACCCTAGATCCTTCAAGAAAATTGAAGAACAAGTCTAGTTCGAGATATCTACTGATTGTTTTGTATTTTGGTTGAAATTTTAAGTGAGTTTCCATCTTAAGCTTCCATGCTTGAGGTAGAGGTGTCTTTAACTTATTATATCTTTAATTTGAGACCCACATGTGGGAATTTCATTAGATATTCACCTTTGTAGATATATATGTATATATGTATGGATTGTGTTTGCTAAAAATTAATTTGGAAGGATGTGGGCAATAATTCATGATTATGGATGGAATTATATCTATTATTGAGGATTATTGTTGTTGATGATGAAAATTTGTCTCTAATTCATGAAAAAGAGAAAACTCCTAATTTTCTACAAACCCTAGTGTAGACACCCCATTTTTGACCGACCTTAAGACTCAGACATCACCAGTTGAGCACTCGGTGATATTGCATTTTGTGCTTGTTCAGAAGTCTCAGAGTCGCGGCTGCGAGCCCTGCCTCCGGGCTTCCAAACCCTCTTCTGTGCCTTGCCTCGGTTTGCGAACCAGACTCGATTTTCTCTGTTTCTTTTCCTGAGGGGAGGGAGAGGTCCCGTAGACCATCTCTCAGTGGCCGTAGGCTACATTTGGTGGCCGTAGGCCATTTTTCCCATTTCGGAGTCCGGTTTCCGGTTTTTCGGGACCGTTGGCCGGGTTAAGTAGGGGTAGGCCAAGTTCCCCAACCAGAGGTCGTAGAAGAAGAAGAAACAACAGCTTCATCCCACGCGGTAGGTTTTGTTGCAGAAGAAGAGCTTCCGATATCCATTGTTGCAAATTTGTGTTTCAAAGAATCGTAAGCAGTTGGTTCTTGATTCGAAGGTCGGTGATTTGCGAAAGCTTCCATAACTTGTATAAATAAAGGTGGATAAAGGTGGCTAATCAATGCATGAAGGTTCTTTCGAGGACGAACAGCATTATCAAATAACTATTCGTATGCTTGATCAATGTAAGAAAAGACTTGCTTGGCCATGAAAGATGTACCAGTCTTTTCGAATACTGAGATTGTGGGAAGGTTCAAAGGTTAGAAGAGAATTTAATGCAAATTTTTCATTGATGAATGACGGTTGCATTTCTGAAAAGTGCAAAGCCCATGCACGTTCTAAGACGTAGATAAAATACCTTGATCCACTAATATCATCAAGTATTGGGTATATTAGCGCGGGGGGTAATGTTGGCTGCATATTTTGTACAAGCCAATCACAATTCAACATGTGACAAGATGAAGGCAATACAGGAAGACAATTTAAATCTTCAATCATAATCACACACATGGCAATTAGTATTGGTTTTTGTGGATCTGCGTAGCACTGGATCAGTAAAGAGATGCAAGATGACGTGGCTTTAACGATTACTCATACTTTTAAATTCAAAATCAGGAGGGAAGCCTAACTGCAGACATGGCGTAGTGGAGCTAATTGGGAGGAAGCATGATCAACAATCATGGAGAGATGATTCGACGGTTAGAAACCCAGTTCGACGGTTAGCATTGAGAAGTATAAATAGTAGAGAAGGCCCCAGAAAGAAGCCCCAGACTCAGATCTAAAAAGTCAGTTTTATTCTACTTTATTTCCAATTTTTATATTTCTTGTTCTTTACATTTCTGTACTTCAAATTCCTGCATTGCATTTCATTCATAGGAGTAGTTTTTAAGTAGCTTGTTGTTGTAAACCTCTATGAGGCTGAATTGGATCATTGTAAGTCTTTCATTTTTAGTTAATGAAATGCTACAATTGTTCTTCATTTGATCGTTGTTTGCTTAATTCTCCTAAACAAAGCCACTTGTAAAAGTCATCTTCATTGAAGTAGAAATAACTAAAACACAATCGTCTGATAATTGGTTGGCAATTAATCTTCTGTAAGGACTGATTGATCCTTGCTAGCACGCTTAAAATTACAATAATAACCTTCGAAAGTCAAAAAGTCAACAATAGTCCAGACCAGGAAAATTAAATGCTTAAAACATAAACAAAATTTCTAACCTATGAAACTCATGCAAACATAAATAAATAAAGCTAAAATTTAATAAAATCTTATCTTGGCTCTGGAAAATCCTTAGAGAGTTGTTCAATTCTATTTGTAAAAAAAAAAAAAAAAAAAAAAAAAAAAAAAAACACCTATAATAACTGTAGTCTGAAGTTATAAAAAAACTAGTAAAGTTATAATTGACATCAATAACAGATTTATCGCAAAAGACAAAGACAAGAAGTTCAATGAAGAGGAAAAGAAAAAAGAAAAAAAAAAATACCTGCAAGGACGGCTTACTCTTGCCAACACGCACCAACCAAAACCAAATCTCCTACAAAACTTAGCAAAGTTCACAACATAATACAACTTTTAAAAACCAATTTAAAGTCTTAACAACCATCATAGGAAAGCAAACTTAAATGTTCAGATGCGTTGTGATTCTAACTTCTAATGTTGGAAGAGCAAAGCAAGAAAGTGGCATGCCAAGGAGGTCATAAAAATATTAATGTTGGCTTTCTTCATCAGTGATATCATTGGGTTTATCCATGTGTAATTTCTTAGTTTGCATGTTTTTTTATTAATTTGGGTCACTCTAGTCTCAGGTGTTAACAATGCATGAAATAGTTCATGTTCATCTAGTGGAGGTGGATACAGAAGAGACCTAAGTGCCCAACACATGATAAAAAAACAAGTGAACCAATTGAAAAAAAATATTTAAAAAATTCAGAAATACTCTTTGTATTACTTTGCTAGGTAGAAATCTCATTTGAACTATCCGAAGGGAACATAGCCCCACATGAAGGAGTTCAAGAAATTAAGTTAAAAGAATTAAATGACAAAATTTATCCTTGCCTACTGTTATCAAGAGCATGTACATAATTTCAGAAAAATTTGAGAGAGAGAAAGAGATTAGTTGATATGATGGGATTGATCACCAATGAATTCTGAAAGCTCAACAAGTGGCATGCATCCACTGCTGGAAAATCTATTTTTAGCGGCGTTTAAGTGACAAAAACGCCGCCAATTATTTTTGTGACGCTTCGCAGCAAACGTCGAGGACACGGCCGTCGCTATAGCTTTATGGCGTTTTAAAAACATCATAATATGAGTATAGGCGGCGTTTTAAAAACGCCGCCAAATGTCTTACAAACAGTCTCTGACATCACATTATGATATTTAGCGACATTTTAAAACGCCTTCATAGACATTTATACATTTTAAAAATTTAGCCGTTAGGGTTGAGATATAGTGACATTTAGAAAACGCCGCCATAGCTTTTTTTTGTTAAAAAAAAATTGTGCTAATTTTATCTGGTTGAATAAAAAAAATACCTATGATAAACAATTATTAAGAACAAATAATTGATGTTTATTAAAATAATAAATAAATTAAGCTTGAAAACAAAATTAAAATACCCGTCATAGACATTTATGCATTTTTTTAAAAATAACAAATACTACATGTTTCAGTCATGTCATCAAAGTAACTGTCACCACCAACATTTTCTTCTTCTGGGTTCCGAACGTAGCGGCTCATAAAATAACTAGTGTCAAGTGCTTCAGCTGAAGGTATAAACATGGCCTGCACATAACAAGTGAGCATTGGTGAGTTTGCAAATTCATTAACAATTGATTGCTTCCTGTTAAAAAAACAAAAAAGAAGAAGAAGATTCAAACAAAGGACCTTCTTGCCTTGCAAGCATGTCCCACTTGATATCCTTATAGAAAAAATGTTTCTTTACCTGCAAAAATTAACTTACAGCCTTGCGTAGTTTCTATTGCCATCATCACTTGCAAATAAGCCTCAATTAAATGTAGAAAATTGCTTTCACCTCTCTGGCCCCTGTTGCACCTAATCTTTGAACTGGATTTTCTATCAGCAATCTGAAATAAAGAAGAAAAAAAAATATGTAGTTGCTAAATACATCTTTCTTGGAAATTTCTCCAGTACAAAAGGACCCAAATGACTATTACATCAATAAGAGTTCCATATAGCTGCCAGATATTAGTACCCATGGATCCTTAATTCTCTGCTGCTGAAGCAGCTGAACAACAAATTACGCATTCATGAAACTAAGGTCCATTTGGGGTTAAACTTGTTTAAAAGATGCTTATCTGGAGGTGATAATGAAATAAGCTGTGACTATTGATAAAGGTTGTTTAAATTTTCTGAAATAGTAAAATACTGGGAATTGTCACTTTTACTTGGCAGCGATTTTGAAAATTGTTATAATTGATTGTATTTAATGGGCCATATTTAATAAATAAGATAAGAAACACCTCCATAATCAGGATATCTACTTAATTTTAAGCCACTCCTATCATTACCAAACAACTTGTTTGGTGCTTCTTAAAAATAAGAAAAAGCACCATCAAATAATCAAAACCCGAACAGGTTAGCATCTATTTGGAACCTGGATGCCATACAATTTCACAGTTATTTCAAACAACAGGAAGCAGGAAATGGGATCTCAAGCCCACAGTTATATTCCAGGTACTTCACAAGAACAGAAACAAAAAAGGTGCCTAGTTTGTGCAACAAAAATAACAATAACAACAATAATGTACATACACCAATTATTAACAGAACATGGTGAGAGAAGCATAAATCTTAGACATTATTTCAAATTGGAGTAGCAATTCTTACTAAGATTAGTGCCTGTTCTGAGAAAATCAGGACGAAGAGTGGAAGGAAATCTGACGACCGTTCCCCCAATTCCAACAATCAAACATTGGAATCCACAGGTCTCAAGCTCCGCAATTACTTTATCAACAATTGTTCCTGAGAACACTGATGCATGTAGTCAAAGGAAACATTTACAAAACTAATATTGTTAAACATATGTATTCATAAATTGAATTCAATGGATTTGCTTGCTCACATTTTTTTCTTTTACCATGACAACTCAAATGCATGTATAGACTAATGAGAGAGCATAATTTTATTAAAATGGACGCTTGAAATAAGGATTCTGTCACTGAACCCAAATCCTCTTCTAATGGCACTTCAAAATTAGTCATATTTAGAACCCCATTAAGCTCCCAGATTTTTGCTAGTCATTAATAATCTTTCTACGATAATCTGTTAATCTAATTGAACCAATGCCTTAATTTTTGGATGAGAAGCAAACTGAATCAGTAGTTTAGAAAAAGTAACAGGGAAAAAAAAATCTAGAGCACCATTCCACATATCATTGATGTTATGATCCTATTTCTCAAAACCTAAACAAAGATAGTCAAGGGAATAATTTGTTTGAAATATGTATGAAATATTATCTATGTTGCAATGCAGTGACACACCTTCTAAAAGTGACGATGAATGTGACATGCATATAGATGCAACAAAGTTACAAACACAGTCAAGAACAGAAAAGAGCATCTAAAGAATTTCAAAGCATGTTATTCGATAGGGCATCATAGAGAAAATATAGCAGATAGAAATACTAAACATACAAAAATAGAAAAGCACAATCCAAAAGCAGAATAATAAAATGGATACAGGTTGGTAATAGTGTCAGGACACAGCCTCCATCACCAGCTCCTGTCAGCATGGTTGTCAATTTGTATTTCAATGTTGTTCGAATCACAGTTTCAATTGAAGCATGGCCGACCCCCATACATTGGAGCAACCCTTGATTTATTTCCATTAGTTCTTGTAGTTTGTCTTCTTTCTCAGTTACCGCAACGTCATCATCACCAGGTGATTGGAGAATGGTCGCCACTTCGTTGCTGATAGAATCAACGGCCTTAAAAACAGCAGCCATTGCATTTGAGTGTCTGACTGTCCTCTCTGAAACGCTAGCAACCAATGCTTTTGTGTTCTGGCCAAGTTTTGTGTTAGTTGGCGTATTGGACTTGAGACATGTCAACTCCCCTGACCTAAACTTGATCATGTTCTAGTAGCCTCATTGGGAGCTTAGCTGGTTTCTTGTTCTTCATCATCTAGGAATTGAAAGAAAAATGAGCATATTCTCAATGGTAGTGTAAAGAAAGAACAGTGGAAAGCTTAGCACCTAATTGCATACCAAACACAATACAAATATAATATCTGAATCTAATCCTCCTCATTTTATATTCAACCACCCCTTCAGCAACATGCCACCAGATGTAAGGGGGTCAGCTGTTGTACTCAGCAGCCCTTTCAACATAAAACTGATCTCTACCAAACCGAAATATCAGGTACATGGAAAATAGAAAAATCAATTACAAATTAATAGAGAGCAAGTAAAATATTTTTCTGGTGCAAGTGAAAACTGGGCAAAGGAAAAAGGAAACAATAGGCCACAAAGTCAAAATTACGTATGTTGATTTATCCAACTTGTATCCATCTGATTCTCTCTTACACTACAAATGTCACTACCAAATTATATTTTATACATAATTATATATATTTTTGGAAAGAATGGTTTAATCATGTAGCATAAACATCAAATTATTTTTTTACACATCTTGTCCCTTCATTGAATCGATGGATATCCTAGGGCCTCTATCAATTGCGGAATTAATCTATCATGAGATTATAAAATTAGAAATTAATGAAAGGGTTAATTAGTAAAATGTCTATTCTTATATGGTCATGTGTTATCCAAGATTTTTTTTTTTTCTTTTTTATGATAAGGATATGTTTTGAAAAACTATCAAAATTGAAAAAGGCATTAGCAATAGTGAAGTAAACATATAGGTGATATTAAATAGATAAATAATATATAATTTCGGCCAACTACCAGGGTTTGGTTTTATCAGTTACATCATCCAAAGTTTTTGGCTTTTCCATGTTTCTAGCCATAGGATCAACTCCATTCTAGAGGGGAAACCAAAATGTAAAATCAGTCCAAAAGAAACAAATGTGACATTGTACATAAAAAATAAAAGAATAAAAAGTTGCTTGGCAGTCTTAGAATCACTCTATTTTGGTCATTCTCTGTGTTCCATTCAAAATGGAACATGCCCATCGTGTGACAAAAGTCAACAGTATTCATGGGCAGGCACCTCTTAAACATGCACTGGTGTACTGTGATTGGAACCAAGTATATAATGTAAAATTCAGTTCTAACGTATAAAACTCCAGTCTAGACAATCAGTATACATAATTACTGCAACAACAAACATTTGGCATACAAAGGGGGAGGTGGAAACAAAACAAAATTGGTTTGGTTTTCAGAATTTGTTTTCTAAATAAATTTCAAAAAAAAAAAAGAAGAACCAGAAACCTGATCAATGAACCCAAAGGTCTTTATCGATCCCATGATATAAATACTTCAACCCAAATATATATATGTAAATATTATACAATAAAAAAATGAAAACTTAAGCATTGAAGGACCTTAATTGCAGCAGATTCAATAGGTGATCTTAATGCTTCAAAGGACGGGGCTTCAACTACTCTTAAAGATCTAAGACCAGCAGTGGTAGCGAGTATCTTTATTCCATTGTTTGCTGTAGTAATAGCGAGAAGATTTCCTTCCTTGTTGAATCTCAAGCGAGGAAGACTCTTTTAAGGCAAAAAAATGTCATAAAGTAAGAGCTGAATTCAAACAAGCTGGGTGTTTCCCAAAACAACTATAAAGATTACACTGACTGGAACTCCACACTCTGCATCCATACTAGTGAGAATGTCGTTATTGTCCATGTTCCAAAACTTTATTTGGTGATCTTCACCCACGGCCAAAAAGTGGTTTTGAGTAGTGTCAAACTGCACAACACCAACAGATTTCTTTCTGAACCCAGAGTATGTCCTCTTTATTGCTCCTTCACTTTCATTCCATTCAACAAGGAAAGAATCCCCATCTTTACCCGTTCCACAAGAGAACAATCTGAAACAAAGGATAAGGAATGAAGAGAAGAGGCTGAATGATTAACAGGATTTGACCAGCTATATTTCATCAAGGGATTCAAAAAAACAAAAAGAGCAGGGGTACAAGAAAATGATCAAGGAACCAACCTACATCATGTTTGATATCTTTAATTTCAATAACCTTACCTACTTCCATCGGCACTGTAAAACATAGTAGTACATGAGTGTCCAGGAGCATCGTAGTCAACTCTAGATCCACTAAAAAACTAAACTTCCACAAAACAAAAGTCTATCTCTAACAGCAATAACGGCCTACTGTTCCCATTAATTAAGAGGTAAAATGGTGGTTGAAAATAGTACCTATCATATCAATATCTTACAATTCGTGATTTGATTCACGATTCAATTCATGATTCATGCATAGATCGATGTGAATCTATTTTGAGACAGAATCGATAGTGAATCGCATGATTCACAATTCGATTCATGTTAAATGATTCAAAATGAGTTTCAAGGGGATGGTTTCCAAGATTTTCTTCTCAATGTCTCCCCCAAGCTTAGCAGTCATATCAGATGCAATGAACCCTGGGGCAACAGCATTAACCTGTTGAACCAAAAAACACAAAAAAAAAACTTCAATAAAATTGGTTTCTATTTACTACTCACCTACTCACTAGAATTTAGTGGACTACTTTGGGAGGACTAGAATTTAGAACAATGAGAATTGTAAAAGCAAAGAATGCATGTGAAAGGTCAAAAAAAATCTAATAAAATACCCATACCTTTTAAACATTCCACCTTTGGCTGCCTTTGGATACTTGAAAGGGCAGCTTTGAAGTTCTCTAGTGATAGGAACCCAGAATCCAAATCCATATGACTAACAGCAGAGAACCTAGTGTCATGGACCACCAATACTCATAAATAAGGTTTAGGATGAAATTAATTACAGCAATACAACTTCAAACTAGAATTCTATGCTTCCAGGACAGAAAAACTTACAGAATATGTGGAATCAGAATTTGATAATGTATCAATAATTCGTTTGAATCTCTCCTCGGCCAATACATTCTGATAGATGTCAAGGAGTTCTTACCGCATGGCCCACAACATTAAGATTCAGGAACAATAGATATTATCATCAAAGCTCTAAAAACTGCCCTGGGAATACATAAACAAATAATTTCTCTAGTGATAGCAAATGCACTCAGCGTGCAAATTATTAAGCCTAAGCTTGTGGTGCATGGGAAACTAGTTAGTTCTTGACTGGACTTCAGCCACTCAAACTGTAAGGGCATAAAAAGGCCCATTACAAACTGAGGTAAGGTTTAGATGAAGAATACTGGATATATGTGAAGACAAATGTGTCATATTATGAGATGTGACTTTATCTATCCGAACCAACCTGATTGGGACACAAGGGCTTAGTTTGGTTTGGTCTGGTTTATTTATCTATCCGCCAAGTTCACAAATACATACATGCATACACACAATTGAATACATAATATACACACACACATAAAACATTAAATAATTCATGGTTACTGTCAGAAAAGGGGAAAAAAAAAAACAAGGGAAGAGAAAGAAAGTGAAAGAAAGACAAACCCGTTCTGTCGATGGAAGAATCAACCAAAGAGGTCTGATGATCTTGACCTTCATCTCTCTCTCCCTCTCCCATGGCCTTCTTCCAAGCTGCCCTTCAATTCAAATTTACAAATTCAACAATAATAAACCCTTTTAGCATATATACACACACACATATATATAGATGGTTGGTGGGTCTACAAGTCATAATAGTGGACTACTTTTAGAGCCAGAGACAAACTAACAAGTGCATTTTTGTGTCTCTTTTTGTATTTTGTGTGCAGTGAAAAATAATAGAAAAATAGAAATCTAACAGAGAACAAGAAAGAGAGAACTTCAACTTGAGTTTAGCATATTAACAAACATGTAATATACACAAATAAATCCAAATATACATACACACAAGATTTGAAGGTAGAGAAAGTGAAGAGATTGAAGATTTGTACCTCAAGCTAAAGAGAATCTAGAAAAAGGAAAGTAACTGTATATATTCAGAGATCTTTCAACTTTTTCAACATAACAGATTAGGAAATGATACCTTCAGACACAAATCAACTCCTCCTCCTCATCCTCATCCTCTCTCTCTCTCTCTCTCTCTCTCTCTCTCTCTCTCTCTCTCTCTCTCTCTCACACACACACACACACACACACACATACGCACTTGAAGCAAAGACTTTAAATCTAATTCAACGAAGCAGAGAGTAAAGAAAAGAAGAAAATGATGTGTTTAGCCACAAATCGACTTGTAGTTTCTTGTTTGAAATTTCAATTTCAATAACCAGATCGAGAGAGACGGGAAGGAAGATCTTGAGAGAGACAGAGAAATCGATACCTCGCTGGTGCAGATGGTGGTGGGAGTGGAGCTTCGAAATCAAAATCGAAATCGAAATCGAAATCAGAGATTCAGATGAAATTGAAATCTGAGAAATCGAGCCGGTGCAGACGGTGGTGGCGATGGAGCTTCGAAATCGAAATCGCCCTGAATCTCAAAGATGAATCTGTGAGAATGATAACGGTTTAGAGAAAGTTGAGAGAGACGAGATTTAAAGGCATGAGGATTCCAAATGAGGGTTTACAAAGGGCTTTAACAATTATTCTCAAATTCAAAATAGACTTTGAAATTGAGAGAGAGAATCACCGAGACATAAATCTTGAAATCGAAATCGAGAGAGAACTTCGAAATCAAAATCAATATCGAAACTGCCAAGATGAATCAGCGAGACTGTATCATTCTGAGATGAATCAGCGAGAGATGAATCGATCGATTAAGAGGGTTTAGAGAAATAGAGAGAGCGAACAAGAGACTGAGTAAGAGATTAGGGCTACAAAATGAGCGAGTGAGAGAGATTAGGGATTCAGAGGGTTGCCCATTTAAGGGAGAGAGAGAGGACATTCGAAGGCGCTTTTAAACGTGTGAAACGGTGCCATTTTTATTTTTTAAAACAGCGACGTTTAAGAAACGTTATTAAATATTATAAAATGTGACGTTTCATAAAACGCCGTTAAATAAACGTCGCCAAAACTCATTTTTCTTGTAGTGATCATGGCTGAATCCTCTTTAAATTTGCTCACTTATACCTGCCTGCTGATTATGGCTAAAAAATAATAGAAACTTGATCTATAACTACTTTTTTGGAAAACCAAGGACTCATAACCTCCATGACAATTGAGTCTACCCTTTTCGTTGTGACTCATAGATGGGTCAAGGAGTGCACCTCATGGGTTGACTCACCCGTTAGTGGATACCATAGGTTGACACCTGTCGGCCTATCCTTCTTTTGAAATTCAGTGCCACGTGGCAGTCTCCTATGCCAAATAGGATACAAACATATTCATTTTCATGAGAAGAGATTTGGTTTGATAAAAAAAATGGAGTTTATGGTGGCTGGTTTTCATTTTGGAGATAGAATTTGCTACAAATGTTATGGCTATAGATGGAGAGATTATTATAGGTGTATGGCGCTGAAGGTAGTGTGAGTTTGTTCTGTAATGATTGAACTGCAAAAATGGGGTCTTCCATTAGAAAAATAGAGTTTTTAGACATTCCATTAGAAAAATGGAGTTCACTCACCCTCAACTTCTGTGGAAGAGACTATGCAGACAATTATGGATCAAGCAAAGTGAAATGAACAACTGGAAGATATGATGGATGAGAACGAGCACTTGCTTAGGGAATTAGCCCTGGAGATAGCCAGATCCCAGCAGGCTGCATGCCATGATTGGGGTCGATTCCCAGAAAAGAAGGATGATCGACGACGTCGACTTCAGAAACATGATGATGGCAGTGATTCTGACTCACCATCTCAGGAACCCAAAAAGAAGGAATGAGTTGATGTATCCAGCTCAAATGAAGGAAGTCTGTACGTACGGCACAGGCAAGGGAAAGGAAGTGATGATTCGAAAGAAGAAGACATGCATGACCCTTTCGTATGCCGCATTGCACGGGCTGTGCTGCCTAAAAAGTTCAAAGCACCAACGTTCTCCCTTTATGACAAAAAATCAGACCCCACTGACCATATTCATCATTATAAACAAGCGATGACATTGCATGCTGATGATAAAGCCCTCATGTGTCGAATGTTTCCAAGTAGCCTGGGACCGTTGGCTGTCAGAAGGTACTATAAGCCGGAGCCGGTGTCAATAAAAAGCTTTCATCAACTTCAAAAATCCTTCAGGGTAAGATACTTCACCAACAAAGTTCAACCAAAGCAAGCCGACTCTCTCTGGACAATGCAAATTAAACTGGAAGAGACCCTCCATGAGTATTCGGCACACTATTAGGAATGTTTCAACCTGGTGGATGATGCCTGCATTGATTCCATGGCCATTACCTCCTTTCAAATGGGATTACATCCTGATAGTCCTCTCTGCAGTTCATTAACCAGACGGCCTCCCAAAACAGTTTGTGTGCTAATGAAGAAAGTTGAAGAATATTGTAAGGTGGAAGACGATGCCTTATGCGTCAAGGCCAGATAGAAAGTTGTTAAGTCGGTTATATCTAGTCTAGTTCAGTCGATAAGCGTCGTGCCATCAAGAAGCCCTGAACCTCCGATTCAGGCTAAGCGTGACAAAATGTGTGATTTGCATTGTTCAAGCGATCAGTGTTCACGCCGATCAAATGAATAATATCAAGTAGATAGCAAGCGCACAAGACATTTGAACAAGAAGCATACGAAATTGGCAGAGCCGATCAGTAAGATCTTGTCCAAAGTTCAACATCTTCTGTTCTGTAAATGACCTTCCAAAATGATGGGGCCTCCTGATATAACAAGGTCCACGGGCACAATACCGACAGCTGTTACGCACTAAAGGACCACCTGGAGGAATTGGTACGAGACGGTCGGCTGGCCCAACACGTCTGAAAGAACAATCCATTGAACACGATAGCCCTACAACCGGATTCACCTCTACTTGGTGTAAATCGCATGATATACTGCCTATCGCCATCTGCCGAGGTACTGTAGACGCGCCCGCGGAGGGGGACCTCGCTGCTACAGTTCGGACTCGATTTGTGTCACGGTTTCTTAATCTGAACCAAAGAGTCCAAATCTGGCAAATCGTTTTGAGAAACAGATTTTTGAAAAAGTAGTGCCAAACATGGACTGCTTTGCCAGATACAGAGTCGCCACCTAAATATTTTTTTAAAATGGGGAAATTTAGGAAACCCTGACTCGGTGCCGAAGGCCACATGTCCGTCATCACCGGAGTTGTCTCGGCTCGGGAGCTTGGGTACGATCGGGGAAGGTCAGCTATGAGCACCCCCTTTCGCCCGGTCCGAAGACCGGCCTCTACTAACCGTGATATCCGTTTTTGAAAACTTTATGTGTTCTTAAACCAATTACTAGCCTAGAATTACTATGTTATGCACGCAGCAAACAAGTATAGACTAGATTGCCTAATTTGGAAAACAAACATTGCATATCCGTTTGTTTTGAAAATACTTTGGAATTTGCTACTCGCAAGTAGGCTAAAACACGGATTTCCATGAGTTTTTCCAACTCAAACAATCCAACCTTCACCCACAGGCATTCAAAACATTTTATCACATAAGCATGTAGCCACATGGCAAGCATACTGTCATGTTAACATTCACACGCATGCGAGATGCTAAAGCATAAATGCTTACATCGTACTCCGTGCCAAAACAGTAAACTAGTCAGCAAACATGCATGTCCTAGTTCATGTTAAGTTGCCTAATGCAACACATACAGAAAATGCAATCTAGGCAGGCTCGGCTAACCTAAGCATGGCATATGAGATGCAATCAATTGATGCACATATTCAATTTTGAAATTAAAGTACAAATGCAGTTAGCATGATGTACCGAGCCCGGTGCATGTAAAACAAATGGATGAATGCACGCATGCATAACATAAGGTATGCTAATTTAAAAAAAATGGAGAAGAGGAATTCCTAAGCAATTTAAAGGGCTATAGGATGCAAAGGGCAATGGGGCAGCTTTTACAAGCCATACAAGCATACATATGGAATGCAAAATAGATGGGAAGATGGACTTATGCATGAATTAGGCAGCTCCAAATAGGCTAAAACAGTAGCCATTTAATGCCAAAAAATGGAGACCAAAGCACATGCACACATGTACCTAATTGGAAGGCCAACACTTAAGCAAAGCAAGCAACATTCAAGCACACTTGAAAAGAGGCATTCAATGGACTAAAGGCATGCAACACAAGCTCTGAAAAATCATGCTAATACATGGTGCCAAACAAGCAACAAATTTAAGCCAAGCATGCACCAAATGGCCTAAGTGTTCAAACAAATCAATGGGGCATTGAACTACACTTAACAAGACCA